TCTCTCTCTCCCTCACACACACACACACACACACACACACACACACACACACACACACACACACAAACACACACACACACACACACTTTCGGGAGCATTAATTTAGACGTTCTACTCTCTGGGATCACACAAGATGTGCAGATCTATTCGGAAATAGCATAGTACTTTTTTTTAAACATTTGACAGAAAGAACTAGACAAAGCACACAATTCAATAAGGACAAAATTCAGAGAAAGTAACGCTTTCTCCGGACTCATGTTAAGAAGCAAAAAGTATCCAAAAATGGAAAAACCACATGTGGAATAATGTACATTACATAACACCTCTATTATAACTGTTACGTAACGTATCGGGATTTAGACAGTACCTTTCTTTTACTCAGTAGTCACTTTTCGGTTACTGTGTACTAGAGGACAAAAATAAAACAAACAGCCCTTTTAATCGTGCGTTTCTTCACTCTCTCTAAATCTGTTTGTACCCACAAACCGAACAGCATTAAAGGGTGGCAGCGGTTAACAACGGTATTTAGTGTCATTTCTTTACTTTTTGAATCATGACTGAACACGATACGGATGTTAACGTTCATCAGACCGGTGAAACAACAATTCATCGCTGCGTGTCTCTACCCCCGCCGAATCCCTTTGATGGGAAGGCAGAATCGTGGCCTTGTTGGAGACAACCTTTCAACAGGTTTCGTTCGTGCACAGGTCTGCAGAACAAGTCACAGTCAGAGCAGGTCAGTACTCTACTGTACACTAGCCGACGACATCCTCACGACTTTGTCAGTTGAGGAAAGCACTGCTACATATTAATTATACTGAAGTGATAGAGGCGTTTGTTGACACTCAATTCGATGCACGCAAGAATATTATTTTCGCTGGAGCAAAATTCAACAAACACACTTAGTTACCGGGACAGAGTGTCGATATATTCATCCAAGACTTGCACAGGCTCGCAGATGACTGCAACTATGGAGCCCTCAAAGATGAGCTCATAAGTCTTAAGAGACAGAATAGTTGTCGGAGTAACAGCTCCAATTGAAGCTCAAACTCACCCTCAGCGAGGCTATACAAATAAGCCGACAAGCTGAAGCTCGTGATGAAAGCCAGACGCTCGTTGAGCTAGTCACAACAAAACCACACAACATGCATAGTACGTCGAGTGCTTCAAGGCTTCCGCACAAACCACACACTCCACACGCAGGTTTCAAGAGACCTTGTGGATACTGTGGTCGCTTCCCTAGCCACAAACGAGACGGCTGCCTTGCCAAGTCTGCAGTCTTTGGTTCCTGTGGCAAGAGAGGCCACTTTAAAACGCAGTTTGCCGTAGTCACCCTAAAGTTCAGAAAGTCGCAGTCAACCCTACTGTGTAGCTGAGGCCCCATACTTTTTAGGTTCCAACAGTGTGAATGAAGTCGACAGCTCAGATGAGTGGTCTGCATTCATCAAGTTGAACTCCACCCCAACAAAGTTCAAGCTTGATACTGGTGCTGTGGTCTGGGTCATCGGAGACAGAAGTGTGGACACAAGTCAACCTTTCAATAGCTGCGGCAAAATTCTAAAGGGCCCTGGTGAAACAACTATGTCTACTCTTGGCACCTTTGAAGCTGATATAAAGTTCAAAGAGAAAGCCATGGAAGAGACAATATTCGTATGAAAAAGACCTACCACATGCCATACACTCAGCAGGTCAGCTTGTGTAAGATGGGTCTCATTGCCAGACTCAATGCAGTCCACGAGACATCTTCTGATTTCAAACGAGAGTTCCCTGATGTCTTCAAAGGACTAGGACAATTGAAAGACCCATACACGATCAAGCTACAAGAAGGCGCTGATCCTGTGTGCTTGCACACAGCACGAAAAGTTGCACACCCTCTACTGCCAAAAGTCAAGGCCGAAATTGACCGAATGCTGGCTGAAGGCGTGATCTCACCCGTAACTGAGCCCACAGAATGGTGTTCCGGCATGGTTGTTGTGCCAAAGAGAAACGGCTCAGTTAGAATAGGCGTGGACCTCAACAGTCTAAACAAGGTAGTGCGACGAGAAGTCCATCCTCTGGCATCCGTAGACGAACAGCTTTCCAAGCTTACAGGGTCTAGGGTGTTCACTAAGTTGGTTGCGACGAGCGGATTCTAGCAAATCCCTCTCGATCCAGTCTCTAGACAGTACACTACCTTCATAACACCGTTTTAGAGATTCTGCTTCAACCGTCTTCCTTTCGGCACCTCCTCAACCGTAGAAATCTTCCAAATGAAAATGTGTAACTTTCTGGACGGTCTTCCAGGTGTCATTTGTCACCTAGAAGACATTCTCTCATACATGCACCTAATCAGGACGCTCACAATAAGCGAGTCAGACAAGTCCTGAAGCGTCTCCAGAGAGATCACGCTAAACGACAAGTGTGAATTTTCACAGCCATCCATCAAGTTTCTCGGGCCCATCGTGAACAACTCAGGCCTCAAGGTAGATCCAGAAAAGTGGACGCCATTGGAAAGTTCCCTCAGCCCAAGAACGTCACTGAGTTACAACGCTTCCTGGGTATGGTGAACCAGATGGCAAAATTCTCTCCTAACTTGGCTACTGCAACTGAACATTTGCAAGCATTGTTAAGAATACACATTGTGGACCTGGGGAGAACACCAAGAGGCATCTTTTCAATGCACCTAAGAAGTCCTCACCACAACACCTATACTGGCCTGACCGGGAGACTATCGTTGCTGCAGATGCTTCCATGTCTGGCCTCAGGGCAGTACTTCTACAAATCCAAGATGATGGTTTTTGCAGACCTGTCAGCTATATTTCTCGAGTTCTGACAGATGCAGAAAAGAACTACGCAGTCATCGAGATGGAGGCCCTTGCAGCTACATGGGCATCAGAACGCTTCAGTGAATACATCCTGGGCAAACAGTATACACTGGAGACAGATGACAAACCCTTGGTCCCTCTCCTCTCTGCAAAGGAACTCCACAAATGCCACCAAGGATCCAACGATTCCGTCTTAGGCTGATGTTTCGGGAAAGCATTACATCACTGCGGGCGCACTTTCTCGTGCGTCGACAATTCCGCTATGAGATGCAGTAATAACTCTTCGTTGATGAAGTGGCATAATTCGCACAACAGGCTATAGACAGCCTGCCTGCTTCACCACAGAGAATTCAAAATACCGTCTGCCTGCTGAAGAGCGACCCAGAAACGTCGGAAGTCCGGGAATACTGTACCTGAGGCTGGCCAGCATACATGCCTGAAAATCCACTTCTGAAACAGTATTGGACTAATCGTGATCATTTCAGCATTGTGGATGATATTCTTTTGTTTGACGATGGACTTGTCATTCCATGGGATTTGAGAATGGACATTCTGAATCGACTCCACGAAAGCCATCTTGGCATCACGAAGTGCCGAGCTGTAGCTCAAACTTGAGTCTGGTGGCCCAACACCACCAGTCAGATCGAGGACATGGTGAACAAGTGCAACACTTGTGCAAAACTTCGACCTGTCCAGAAGTAACCTCTGCTCCCGTCCTCGTTACCAGACCGACCTTGGTCTCGATTGGTCTTGGATCTGTTTGACCTAAAAGGTCAGACCTACATCATCGTGGTCGACTATTACTCTCGTCGGGTAGAGCTACGCTTACGCGAAAAGTTCAACAGTGCATTCGTTATCCATAAACTCAAGTCCATCTTTGCCACTCATGGCATCCCAGAGACAGCCGTGTCCGACAATGGCCCTTAGATTTCAAGCGCCAGCTTCCAAGCTTTTGCAAAAGAGTTTGGTTTCATTCACACCACTAGCTCTCCAAGATATCCTCAGAGCAATGGCGAGGCAGAAAGAGCAGTGCAAAACATTGAAGCTTCTCCTAAAAAAGACAACGATCCGTACACTGTCCTCCTGCTATACCGGGCTACTCCTCTACAAAACGGGTATGCCCGAAGTGAGCTCCTCATGGGAAGGAAACTCCAAACCAAAGTGACATTATGCAGGACAACTTACATTCAAGTTCTGTTGATATACTCTCTATTCGTCAAAGGGAGGAGAAGATGAAAGAGATCATGTGTTTGCAACACAACAAGAGACACGATGTCAAATCTCTTCCAGAACTTTGCCTCAGTTATTCTGTCCACATTTGAGACCTAGGCCGACCGGACATCGTTAACAACAGACTCCCCAATCCGCGCTCCTACACAGTGATCACTGAAAAAGGGAGCACCGTCTGCCGCAACAGAAGTCATCTCGTGGCTACCCCAGAGCCGACTACAACTACAACACCAGAGCCCGATGACAACACAACGTTTACAACACGGTTATCCGGGACTCAGAAAAAAAACGCCAGCGGCCCCAGCGCAGACACCACGAGTCAGCCGACACGGCAGAGAAATCAGAGTACCAACGAGACTAGACCTGTGACCGAATTTAGTTCTGTGCTCTAAATTCAAATCCAAGCCTCAAGAACTCTTCAAAGAAGTTTTCTAAACAAATGAAACTATTAGAGATCTATTTAAAATAGTTGATCAACCTTTGGGACAATAACTTCGAGGGAAGAAGTGGAATAATGTACATTGCATAACACCTATGTTATAACTGTTACGTAATGTATCGTGATTTAGACAGTACTTTTCTTTTACTCAGAAGTCACTTTTCGATTACAGTGTACTAGAGGACAAAAATAAAACAAACAGCCCTTTCGAGCGTGCGTTTCTTCACTCTCTCTAAATCTGTACCCACAAACAGAACAATATTACACCACACGCACCCTATTTACTGGATGAAAACAGAACCAAATAGAAAGTCCTCACAGGACAGTACTTTCATAGTGACAAATATGTCATATCTACAAAAGAGGTATGGTTTGAGACCCATCTGATGTCATATTTCGCTCAAGGACTTTTAAAGATCGAACATAGACGGCACAGTATTCTCAATTTGTAGGGTGGCTGCGTAAAAAAGTAGCATTGCGACTGTCAAATATTAACTTTCTAGCTTGCTTTTTTCGTGGTCATAAAGACTTTATGAACGCCCCCCGTGCACGCAAGAACATCTTAATTAATCTCTCTTTGATTTCCTCTTCTTGCCACAACACAGGCCACAGCAACAGCGACAGGTCTTGTACACCAACAGAACAAAAACCACTTTCACGACCGCTAAGAACACCAGAACGTCTAGCGCCAGGAACTGGTACATGGGCATGTTTTGACCTGTTGACCTCATGTAAGCGCCACCGTACTTCATCACGTGATCCAACCAGAATGCTGTCTCGTTGACCGGACGCTTATACAGTTCTTTGTACAGGTCCGAGGCTTTTTGTATGTTTTTCTTATACTTGTTATTCTCCAGCATTTCTCTCATCAGCGCTAGAAGCTCTATGTCTGTGACCTCACGGATGTCGGCCTTAAGACCAAAACCTTTGACCACGCCCCTTTGGGCATTGTACGGCATGTCGTTCCCAAAAGGCAGGCAAAGTGTTGGCACGGCGTGGTACATTGCCTCGTACTGTCCATTCAAACCGCAGTGGGAGACGAAGAGCTTGGTGTTCGTTTGCGCTAGGAGGTCATTTTGCGGTACCCAGGAAGAAGTGAGAATCTTACCCGGATCTGGAGACTGGAGTTTCACGCGCCAAATCACGTTCTGCTTCAGCTTCAAGAACGCCGACATCATCTTGAAGGAAATGTAGTCCGGTACCTCCAGAATGCTGCTTCCGAACGTAACTACAACCACGCCGTTCACAGATTTCTCCATGAAGCTTTTGAACGGCTCTTTGAGTTCTTCTGGGAGATTCACCGCTGTGCTTCCCACGAATTTAGTATTTGGCAGCTGCGGGCGAGCGAAATCTATAATTGGGTCGCTCTCAACGAGGGAAATTTCCGCTTGGGACATGATCTCCTTGGTAGATATTCTGGGCCGGTGAGGTGCAAACTTTGCGACGAGTTTGTCACTGGTTGCGTACTCGTGGAGAAAGAAGAGCGTTAAATGAACCACGCTATTCTTGAGACGTTGGATGAAAGTCATACCCTCTTCCAGAAAATCACCATTCAGATGCATTGGTGAGGAGGACAGACTGATGGGAACCCTTTGTCCAACATAATCGTGATAATAACACAAACACGAAAAAGGAACATTCAGCATATAGGGGAAAATGACAAAATCCCTAAGCAAAGGCTGCTTCATTAAAACAAACAAATCTGGCTTAATATCTTTGAATTTCGCAATAAGCTGTTTGTCTGACAAAAGCTGAGTCGCCAAGTCTTCCCAAAACTTGATAAATCCTGTGAAGTCTCCGAGAACCATAGACTGGTTCCTCCAGAATTTATCCACGGCCATAGCTGCGATCTTGTCGTCGAAGTGACCGAGATACTCGCCGTACCGTATGACGTTGATGCCCTGCACGTTGACGGAGTTGTCTTTGAGCATGAAGTCCGGCACAGGGACGTAAACGTCATGTCCTAGCGCGGCCAGGGCGCGGCCTGTGTTAGTGTATGTGCGCACGTTAGCGGCGTGAGGGGGAGAGAACAAGACAACTGTCTTGGCCTGGGTCAAGTGACGGTTGCCAGCCAATAAGAGTGTGACGGTCGCGAGGAAGGTGGTCATTGCTGTTGACATCATTGTGGCTCGAGCGTCAGTGGCACTGCTGGTGTGGCGAGTCCTGGGAGTGCATAAAAGGAAATAAATTTAAAGCCAAACCGTTAGGGAGAAAAACGATCCAAGACGAAACAATACAGATTTATTTGTGTGAACCCACGGCTACATAAAACGGTAAATTTACCCCTCCACCCTTTTTTCAGCGCCCCCCCCCACCTCCCCATTTCGCCTCCACATACATTATAACAAAATATAACAACAAAACAAACAATACACATCAGCAAAATCAACGTAACCTAAGGAAAAACAACCAAACTTTATCACTCATAAACAACAGCATAAAAAAGAAAACAACCAAACAAAAAACTCCAGCTAAAACTCCCCTACACAGCACTGAAGCTCATCAAAATATCCGCTCCATCTTTAATTATTTGAAGACAAACATTCTGGTCATCTGACACCGTTTGAAGGAGCACTGTTTTGGGAAACATTAAATTAATTTTAAAAAAGCCTGTCTTATTACCAATCTAGATTATGTTGTTCTGTTCTCCCACTATCTGATACTTTAACAAATGAGGTAACATCTGAAAAATACGACTTAGTTTTAAGTCGTTATTCTGATTTTCGTAGGATTGTTTAGATTTGCCGTAATATTGTCTTCGTCTTCTGCTAATTGGACATAATGTGTTCGCTACCTTGTTATCATACAGGGTCAAAAGCAGTGATGTAATTTTAAGACTATTCAAAGCTGAGATATCATTCTTGTTGAAAGCCACAGCCCTAAAAATGAACCCCCCAAAAAAACAAACAACAAAAAAACAACAACAACAACAACAAAACAACCAACAACATACAAACAAACAAAAAACAACCCCCAAAAAAAAACAACAAAAAAAAAAACAAAAAAACAAAAAAAACCCCCAACAACAACAACAAAAAACACAGGTAAACTTGGAAGGATGGACTTGGTTTTTCGACTCTCTACTACACGTGGAATCTTAGAATTTCCCAACAGGGTCATGGCCATTCAGCTACGACTCAAAATTCCCTACCAACTGAAAATATTAGGTGTGTCTCGCGCGCTCATATGACCTTACGCAGTTGTGAGCGCCGTAAAACACGTACCTATAAAAATACATACATACATATATAGATACATACATACATACATACATACATACATACATACATACATACATACATACATA